GTGGCTGTACTAATAAAGAAGTGAGTCTAGTTACTTGCTGTTGCACTTCCCCTCCAGACAACCCCCTCCCCCCAACTTCTCCTCCGCCCGAGCGTTACACAGGAATACCAATTGAATAACGAAAAACAAAGGCTTCACAATGGAATGGTGCCAATTCAATGAATAAAAAAGGCACGGACTTATGTATCGACCCAATATTATACTTTCGGTCAATTCGTTTTCTTTTTACGCTGTTATTACTATATTTGTCCTTTAGGCCAGTACTACATACTGAACAAATATGGGCGATATACTACACTTTTATTATAAAGAAATCCCCTACAAGTTATGTTACTGGGATGCTCTAACATGCAAGATGCAGTTATGCAGATTCTTCGATTCGGACTGCGCATCACTGCGACCGTCATACTGATGAGGTCCTGTCGTGCGATGTCAAGTTAAGGTGTATATGACTTATTTGGACCGAAACGTCTTATCTCTCTCTTGGGCAGTTACTAAAACTGGGCTGTAAAATGTGCCTACCGTATACCTCGCGCATCACATATGCGCGACCAGAGAGGCCATAAAACTTCGTCCCTTTTCCTTTTTTTAAGTTTCAATAGCCCTGACCGTATTTGTAGCACAGGGCTGCACGGGCAACCCTACCCGTCGTCCATAGAAAAAATTTTTGGCTAATCGTGTAAGACATGAGCCGAGTTTTAGTAATTGTTCTCTCTTGCCCTCTTTTCTCATGCTGTAATCTATCGCATATTCGCCATTCAGGCTTCCAAGGTCAACCTGGTTGCTAGAAGCTGCCTCGTGCCCATCACCTGTTCGATGTGTGACGCGTGTAGGCCAAAATTTTACTTCGACAATGTACCACAGTGATGAATCTCCGAGGAAAATATACCTTTTTGCCGCAGATGAAGCAACATCATGCCTCTTATAACAACTGTCCGTATCGTGTTTTGACTTCCCTTCTATCCTTCCTTTCTCACTTTATTTGCTTCTTCACGTTTTAACTTCACTTCTTTCTTTCCTTCTCACTTTACTTGGTCCTTCACTTATATCTATTTCTTCCTCTCATTCGTCTTGCAAATTAGTTAAATGATTATTCAAAACATGGTGGGAAGGAGGAGGCTGTATTGATGATTCCTATTCCTACCCGCATGCACTGTTCGGTGTGTGTGTGTGTATACAGCTAAGGGATGAAACACAGAGTGCGTCATAAAATGTCTTCATGTACACGACATTTCAAGTGAAATTCTTCCATTCTTCTATTTCATAGATCGACTACATTTCTACGTTACAGGCCTAAAACTCTGAGTTATAAGCAGAATAAATCAAATTCTTGTCAAATGTACGAAAAAAAAACCTTGAATCTTCGTTGCGATACAGGAGGTTCCGCATATGGGACACCAAGGAATGTGATCACAGTGATATTGTTGGATGGAGGGACAGGATTCGGCTCGAAATGCCTCCAATCTGGCCTGATTTGCTCCAAAGGATCATGATCCACATCCCATGGCAAATTTTTGATTGTTACCTTCCGGCCAACGATATCGCCAATGGAAAGACGCACCAGAACTTCATCTCTGCCCAGCTGAAATATGCAGACAAACTGACAACTGACAGCAAAGGCAACTGAAATTGAGCCCGGTTTATTCAGATATAAACTTTACAGGCTCGCTTATCTGGGTATCTGAATTAGCACTTACTATTTTCTCACAATTAACAATATTTGGCTGTGTCCCTTTCATCGGCTGGCCTACAGCGCCAAACAAACATCCATAGTTACATTTTTCAAAAAATTTTCCAAAAATTTCCAAAACACTTTATTTATAAGCTTTATCATTTGTTATAAACTTTATTATTTGCTATAAACTTTTATAAACTTCATCACCTTCATCATTATTGACGTTATTAGTATTATTATAAAAAATAATCCAATTCTAAACACAAATGCCATACAATAGATCAAATAATGATTGATGGTTTTTGTTACAAATAGATTAAAGAACAATTGCGGACACCCCACTCTTGTTAAACTTTCGCTATCTCAGTAATCTCTGAACCCTGGGGTATAAAAGCACTCCTCCCTATCA